AGGTCACGAGGGGAGGTGCGAGAAACGGCGAGGGCAGGGTCTTCGTGAGTCGATGAGGGAAGGATAGCGCCCCGGGGAGACTGGATCACAGGATTTAGTGTTACAGCTTCAGACAAGTGACTCAGCTCAGATCTCAGTGATTCAGCTCCAGTTTTATTGGGGTAAAACTAGGATTATTTATAGTGTGGAGACAGTAGAAAAGCCTTAGCTGATAGGTGCTCCTGGAATGCTTCATTTACATAGGGCGGTGGGCTTCTCTCAGGCTATCAGACAATGCCTGATTAAAGCCTGGTAGTTTCTGTGCTGGAGGGCATGTATCTGTGACAGGCATTTCAAAAGTAAGTCAGGGAGGAGAGCAGAAGGCGCCCCGCTGAGAAGGGGAGTCTCCCCATTTGCGCCGAGCCGGCTTGCGGCTATTTGGACATGGGGAGACTGCTACCCTAAACAGCAGGGGTCCCCAACACTTAACAGCATCACTTTGGTGTTTAGGATTTCAGCATAAAAATTTGGGGAACAAACGCCCAGCATGGTGGCTCGTGCCTTGAATCCCAGCTCTTGGGAGGCAGAGGCAGGTGGATCTCTGTGAGATTGAGGCCAGCCTGGTCCACATAGTGACTTCTAAGGGGGCCTGTCAAAAAAAAAAATGAGAACAAATACTCGTCTATAATGCGTACTGTTTGTGGCACAGTGCTGTGTACAGAGGGCACAGCAGTGGGAAAGGGAGACTAAGTAGTTCCTTACCTTGTATAACACAGGTTTTGAGTCTTAGGCGTAAGACGAAAGCATCTAGTTGATGGTCATTATCCATGTCTGAGTTCAGGCTATCATTTTTAGACTTGGTTGGTTGGGATGAAGCTATTCTTATATATTTTATAGAAATAAAGTTCCAAGGCTGATACTGCATATACGAGCCTATGGATGTGTAGAAATCCATCAGCTTCTGTTTTGTATTTCTAAACTTGTAGATTATAGCCTAGATTTGGGTGGACATCAGAATTCTTAGCTGAGCTGAATATTATAATTGGCTGTGTTTCTCTTCCTTGTCTCTCAGAAGCTATCGTCTGACTTTGTACACTCAGCTTATGACTGGCCCCAAGGTCCTGGCTCATTTCAATTGAGTAGTGCTGATCTTACTTCTCGGTGGTTTTATCCATGAAAGCTTTCCCTGTCCAGGCCAGTACATGTGAGGTATCTTCTGTCTGTTGGTAACCGTTCTCCAATAGCTTCGGTTCCAATTACGGCCACTGCGTGCCTGCCAGGCAGCAGGTGGAAATACTGAGCAGTCCACAGAGGTTCTTGTTTGGGATCTCAGGGTCAGTTGTCTTGCAGGCTGGAAGCCAGCAGTGTCAGGAAGCATCTGGAGCAGGGCCTGGAGGTGTCTGCACTCTGGGAAGCCCCTCTGAGCTTTACCTTCTGTCAGCCAAAGTAGTAACTGGATTTTGATCGTGATATGAAGCACTTTGAATAGGAGAGGTGGAATTTCAAGTCTTGCTTGTGTGTGTGTGTGTGTGTGTGTGTGTGTGTGTGTGTGTGTAAGACTGGGTCTCCCTGTAGCCCCAGCTGGCCTGGAATTTGCTGTGTAGACAACTCTGGCCTCGAACTCACAGACATCCTCTTGCCTCTGCCTCCCAAGTGCTGGGATTACAGGTATGCGCCACCACGCCTGGCTTACTTTTTTTTTCAATTTAAAAAACAATTTTTTTTAAAAAACTACATGATTAGAAGAAGCATTTCATTACAGCTTTAACAT